TATTGATAGTACATCTCTAATTAGAGGGAGCTAAAGGGTGATTTAAATGTTTAACTAATATATCTGCTCATATATTAGAGTGAGATAAAGAGTGATTTAAGTGTCTAATTACAATTGTTGTTCTTATGTTATACAGATTGAATGTCTAGTTTACTCTTTGTTCCTATTATATTATCAAAAGACATAGTATTTTTTTTATATATTTTTGTCTAGTGTTGTATCTTTGGGACATCAATGTATAGGACATTATACTAACTGATACACTCCATTACTACAGTTTTCTTCAAAGTGGCACCTGTAGTTCCTGCACATCAAGCGATTACCTCATCCTATTTTTTTTTTGGGGGGGGGACTCATTCTCCAAAACACAGCAGAGCATTTTCACTTTGACCAATTTTGGTGGTATGTAAAATCTGTAAAGTTGCTTTGTCAATTCTTGGAGCATAAATAATATATATTTGAGGTTTAATTGTTGCAGATTAATGTTTTAGAGCGGTATCCTTTCCCCGAGGAAGAATCTGTACTAAAGTATTCGAAATGAGTTGGATATAGGCTGAATACACTTCTAGTTTCCTCAACTGGGGTTGCAAGATGAAAATCAGCTTCAAAAGATACTGTTTATTTTTCAAGGTAATAATATGAGTATTGTCTAATTAACATGCTGTCAACAATTGTCATGTTTTATTGGGGAAATATGTATTTGATGTATTAATAAAATTTAAACCTTTTTTTAAATCTGTTTGGTTTACTTGTATTCCAAGGTTGCCTTAAAAACTCCACCAAATGTAAGGTATAAACTGTTTTAAGTGTATAAGGCTAACCTTAGGACTTCTGTTTAGTTTTTATTTCTGTCTCTGTTCCTGCTGGGTATTTCCTACCCCAGTGTTAACATTGCCAGAAGGACAGAAAATGAGGGGAAATCTCCCCAGGTGGGACACCACAATATAAATATGTAAGACCACCACATAAAGAGTTCATATGTTCATATGTAGCCAGAACATCAATAAACCATTTCAAAGGTTTAAGGATATTCCTGAGCACCAATAGCTTAATGGACTGAGCTGACCAGCACAATTGGAATTCTCCTACATTAAGTTCCAGGAATGCACTTTAAGCACTTGCATTTGGTGCAAATGTGTGTGCAAAGCAATAGTTTCTTGCAGGGTGCATATGGACATACAGGTTAATTGCTACACTGAGGTCATGGCTGGATCTACTAGATCAGCCACACATTGCTTCCCATTAATACAAATAAAGCAAACTCAGCATATAGTATTTACACACTAACAATATTCTATGGTGGATAAGAGCCAATAAAAAAAACTCTGTAGCGATGACACTGCATACTCACAGTTACTATGGTGACATGTCTAGCAAAGCTCAGGTCTCTGTGACAATGCCATTGTTGCTATGATGACCCCTTTAGAAAAACCCAGGCCTCTGTAGTGATGACACTACTTTTGTTGCTATGGTGACATGTCTAGAAAACATCAGTTCCTCCATGGTGATGACACTGCTACTGCCTGTTGCTATGGTGACGCCACCTGGAAAAACCCAGACCTCTGCAGTGATGACACTACTACTTCCTGTTGCTATGGTGACATGTCTAGAAAACATCAGCCCCCTGTGATGATGACACTGCCACTGCCTATTACTATGGTGACCCCACTGGAAAAGGCCAAGCCTCTGTAGTGATGACACTGTTTTTATGTGGACATGTCCCTCTGCTGCTCTCAAAACTTACTATGGAAACACATGTGTTTTTAGTGAAAATCTTTTTCATCTGTCATAAATCTGTTGCAAAACTTTGTTGCTTTCTAGGGCTGCAAATGAAGAAAGACCTCCCCTTATTACTTGCATAGTGCTATGGTGACCAATATAGAAGGGGACAGGCCTCTGTAGGGGGTAGCACTGCTACTCCCTGTTGCTATAGTGACAGGTCTCACAATGGTCAGGAAACAATATCTGGTGTAATTCAGCACTCTGGTGGATATATAAATTATATACTGTATGTATCCTTAAATAGTTAGCTTTAAATGGTCCAAATAGATACCTGATCTGTCCAGAAATAGCAGCGAAGTCCAGTAAGAAAAAAATGCTCTGCTGGTTTTAATCAGATAGGATGATTAAAATAAACACATGAAAGAGTGAGTATCAATGCTCCCCGAGGTATGGGCAGATACTAATTAAAAAATCGTCAACTACTGTCTGACTGCTAAAGGCTGCCTCCTTGTCCAGGCTGGGAACCCAGTGGCTGCTAGAGAAGATGGGAGGGTTGGAATGGGATTCCAGGCAGCAGTATGGTGTATTAGGGAAATAAACAGTTAGAAATGCACTCACAAGCGCCAGGCAGCAGTATAGTGCAGTAGTTCATTTTATTGGGAAATGAACAGTTAAAAATGCGCTCACAAGCACTCTGTGAACAAAGGCTTGTAATTATGGAGAAGATGTGCAGGATCCAGGGTCTGGAGTGTGGGATGGATGGAAACCTTTGTGAACTGTTGTAGTTGGGATTCCTCCACTGGAACCAGTATAAAGACCTGCTGCCGCTGACTTCCCTTTGAAGCACCACTGAGAAGAACTGTCCGGAGTGCTGGAGCTTGTAATTGATAGTGAGACGCGTTTCAAAGGCAACATCCGCCTTCTTCTTCAGTCTAGAAACTGGATGCTGCATGTCTTCTCCATGGCGACAAGTCTTTCTTCACAGAGTGCTTCTGGGTGCATTTTTAACTGTTCATTTCCCAATAAAAGGAACTACTGTACTATACTGCTGCCTGGCACCCCTATCTCTCCCCCCTCTCACAGAGATCAGGCCTTGGAAGTTGTTGCCTGTTGTTATAGAGACCCCTCTAGAAAAGACCAGGTCTCTATAATGATGACATTGCTACTCCCTGTTGTTATGGTGACATGTCTAGAAAAGCTCAGGTCTCTGTAATGATGACACTGCTACTGCCTGCTGCTATGGTGACCCCAGTAGAAGAAGCCAGGCCTATGTTGTGATGACACTGCTACTCCCTGTTGCTATGATAACATGTAGAAAATTGGTGGCCTTTGTAATGATGACTATTGTCTTTTTCTTGCTATGAGCCAATTTTATCAATAAAACGTTTGGACTCTTGGAAGTTTGTTTAGTGCTCTCATTGAACTATATTTTACATGGATTCTCACTCTGGGGTTTACCCCCTTTTCTCAGGAGTGTCTCCATTTTGTGGTGAGCTGCCACACCAGAGCTGGTGTGCCCACTAATAATTGGATTGACCCATTGAAACTCTGTATCCAGCGCATCACTTTTACTTGTGTTTAAATACAATAGCCAGGAGTGTGGATTCTTCCATCCACGCAATTTACTGTGGATGGGGGAGTTGACTGATTTCTTTCTTTCAGACCATGGTGGAAATGTTTTGCATAAAAGAAGTGATCAGAGCCAAAGTGCGCACTAAAGGTTGTATGTGTATAAATTCCAGCATTGTAAATCTAGCTCATGACTATGCTTTTTCTATTTCTAGCAATCAAATCCTAAAAAATCAAAAGAAAGATTTGAAAACTCGTTATATATTTTTATGGTATAAAGTGCAGCGCTGCCCTTTACACCATATTCTATAAGGAGTTGTTACCTTTACCTTTGTGCTAGCTGCTTCAGATTTATTTCCAGCGCTCGCCTATACATGACATTCTTTATATATTTTTGCCAAATAGAACCCTCTTTGTCAAAGCCAATCACACTGCCCTTTTCTATCCCGCTCCTTTAGCACCCTTATTTACAAACATATGCAGTGCCAAGACAAGGTCATCCATTGCCCATGGTGAAGATTGGGAAACTGCATCTTCCTCCCATTCCGAGTAGAGGAAGGGACTGGGGTAATAGCAAAGCACACAGTACACTGTTCCAAAATGTACTGTATGTAGTGATTGCATGTGCACCGTCTGACTTCACCCCCCTTGTCCTGGCCCTGCAAGTCAACAATGGCAGCTGACATATTTCAATTTTCACAGGTTCCCTTTAAAGAGAATCTGTCCCAAAGCAAAACACTAGCTTGCATATGCTTTATTTGAGATGGCCATTCCCTGATACATGTGCAGAATACTAGTTATGAATCTATGAAGCTAAACCTACTCATTGAGTCACTACCTGAGCTGCTTCTTTCAATGAAAAATCACAGAGGCATTTTGGTTGATATCAGAGTACCTTTAAAGTGGTCCTAATGCCCAAATCACACTGGTGACAATGGGGTGCATCTGACCCTGAACCCAATAAATGCTGCTTCCTTTCTGGGCAAAAATCTGCAGACTCTCAATTGCCATTGAGTGAGCAGCTATTAAGAAACATTTTGTAAGTATGGCCAGCAAGATGGCAGCAACATAGAAGCAGAGTGGGCACTAAGCAATTCCAGCAGGTTATAACCAGTGACAGAACCTCTAGTGTAACATGGGCTCTGCAACAGAATTAGCAGAGACATGGGAATCACTAGTCTGACAAAGCTGGAGAAAGGATCTGTGTTTGAGTGAGGAACTGATTGGCTGGCTGTGTGTGCCTGAGCATCACCCTTCGCCACATGATCCACCATTACAGCTCTGTTCAAGTTTTGACAATTGGACAGAGCCTGGAGCTCCTGATAGGTGAGTTTTAGGTGGTTTATACATCCAGAAATCCACATTGTCTTTATCATATACATATTTCTCATTTTAAATAATCAATTTTAGCATATTTGGTGCTGCAATTTGCTTGAATAGCTGTAATTTGAATTGTCTGATAAACCTGCTTGAATACATAATGAAACCTCAACGTGACATGAGAAGTAATCACCTTTTGTAATCTGAGTTATTTTGATGACAATGTGATGTTACAGATTTCTGTTTTTTACTGTACTTTTGTTTGTGAATACTTCCTTTTTATTGCTGGATTTTATTTATTTGTGATTTTTACATTAAAGGATTGTGCTGGATCCTTCTGGAGGCTTATATTTGGATGAAAATGGGACACAGCAGAAACAGTGGGCATGGTGGGATTTCAGCCAGCACGTGCACGCTCCTCCTTTTCAGACAATCACCTTGAAGCTCAATTCCAACATTGAAGTAAAAATGTTGACCCAGGATCGTATTTTTCTGACATACACAAGAGAGAAGGAGAAGGAGAGTAACATTCAATGTTGGGTCTAAACTGATGGTACGTAAAAACACAATTTCAAAGCAATGTAATGTGGGGTTGGTTTGAAAAATGGAAACTCCTTTGTATGGTGCAGGGAATTAGTAGAAGCCTGTACTGAGACTTCACCTGTCCTGAAAATGCTAGATGCCTTGTTGCCCTGCTAATCCATTAATGTCTTTGGCCATTAAGCTAGATGTAAACCCTAACTGAATGACATATAGTTTGCTAAAGCACTGTGGATGATAAACATTTTTTTTTTATAAATTACAGTTTTCACCTTTTTTGTTATCATTCTTTGTTACATCTCAGTGCTGCATGGTTCTGTCTGCCTTTTTGTAGCCGCTTCTTCTCTACATGCAGTGTACCTGTGTCCAGACTATGGACATTTTTAACACATAACTTAAAGTATATCTAAACCCAAAACCAAAACTATAAATTAATTGCAGATTACTGGGTGTTGTGGCTGCATAGTTTTCTCTTTCAGGTTTTTTCTTTTATCTTCATCCTTGGATGGCTATGTTATTCATCCACTGTATCTGTTAAGGGAGCCATAATTGTCACCCTAGGCTGATCTTCTGGTATGGACTACAAACATGTCCGTATCTCTTTGTGACGGACCTCCTGGAACCCAGCCTGGGTGCTTCCGTCAGAGAACTACTTCCTTGCTGCTGGCACAAAGGAACAAGGTATTATAGCAGGACATTGCATGCAAGAACTAGACGACACTAGCTTAGGTGCAAACAGGAACTGAACTTTATTGAAAATTCACAACGAAGTTATACCACACAAAATCAGATAAGAGCTTGATCACATTATCCCAAACAAAGCAAACTTTAAACAGTAATATCTTCAGTACATCTAAAAGTACATCTAATGAACAGCTAGCAGCTAACTGTAACCTAATTAAACAATGATCTAATTAACAATAAGCTAACCAACAGGAAGGCATCCAGACCAGTCAGGGAGTCCACCCCAGACAGTCAGGCAACCACAACCCTGAATACACAAAGTACAATACACATGCTGTCTTTCAGGTGTTTGACTTTCATTTGTGTAATCTGTCCACTAGAGAAGTCATTATAAGACAAAACTCATTCAATATTCCAACAGTCTGGAAAAGTGGAATTAATTTATCTTCATAGATTTCTTGAGAGGGTTTGTTGATAAATATTTCTTTCCCAAGTAAAGTAGCTTCTCCAACCCAATCTGTAGGAGGGCCACCATATTTCTTATGACCATAACCTGTACAAGATTAATATTACACCTTTTACATCCACTCCAGAAGGGAAGCTTTATTGTCTTGATTCAGAGAATTAATCCAAGCCTCGCTCTCAGTGTTTATCATGTTGTTGTCCATCATTAGAGAAGGATCTGCTCTCTTCATGTGTTCAGAGGCTGACGTGAGCTCTTTGCCATGCTCTGACCGGGAGAAGCAGACAGAATCCCTGGTCTCCTCCATGGGCATAATCAGTTGGTAGAAGGCTAGCCCCCTAGCCCTCCCCTAGCCCCACTCTTTATCTTCATTACATGACGGCAGGGCAATTGGTAGTTTACAGATAACAGCTAGGAAGGAAGGTATTCTTTGGTGCAGCTCACAGAAAGTAAGGACACTGCATTTGTGGCATGAGGTATTTTCTGTATTTGCTGCAAATATTCTTAGACTGAATGAAAGATAAAACTAATACAGTCACACATCTGTGGACTGTAAGCTGCAATATGATTTAGGGGTGGAGAAGCCCTGAAACCCTCTTCTCGGTGAGAAAAGGTGACAAACAACTGTTTTAAAGATGAGTAAGAATGGGGTTAAGGAATCTTGTTCTTTTCTGAGTAGAAACAGAGAAGAATTAGAGGCAAGGAGAGGATGGCAATTAGGAATATTTGCACATCTCCTGAAAAAGACAGAGAAAAGACTTTTTTGACATCTTTTTTTTTATATAAGGGTATCATCTCCATAAGAGGGGGCGACTTTTTGTCATGAGGAAGGCTTTTCAGTACAGTAGCTCTGGTGGGCTTAGAGAGGAAAGATTAGACACAAGAGAACCCTCAGTAGATGGTGATTTTGTCTGGGAGGGGCAGAGGGATGAAAATTGCATAGTAGAAGATGCATAATGCAGAGTAAAGTGGACAGTGGGGCCTGAAACCTCAACCATCGGCAGCTGTCTTAATATATTGATTGGGAAGTTGCCTCGTAGGGCATATGCACAGAGGATAAAGACACTCTGGAGATCTGCTGAATCAGGTTTTCCAAGGCATCCACACAGAATATTAGGAGTTAAAAGTTGCAACCTTGAATAAAGATTTGGATTGTCTATCTCACCATGAATTCCTTCAGCCCAGAAATCTATAGCTTGAGAAATCACTGAAGTGACATGAGTGGGCTATTGGACCAGACCTGCTTGCAAAGGAGGTCTTTAGAAGAACCTCCAATTGCCTATCCACTGAGTCTTTAAATGAAGGGGCACCCTCAATAGAGATAGTGGTGTTAGCATTAAGTGAAAGAATGGCCAAGTCTACTGGCAGGACCATTTATTGCTAAATTCTGTGTCCATAGAATAACAAGGCTTCAAAATTATCAAAAGGGGGGAAATAACCTCTCCAAATTTGTGCATTAAATAAGGCCTCATTCAATCAGGCACTGGCACTGGATTTGCATGCATAAGCCGTTTTTTTTTTCACATCTGCATCCACCCGAAGCTGCATTCAGACAGCCTATGGAAGTGGATACAGATGCAGCAACTGCACAGACACAGGTACATGCCAAAACAGGGGTGCAGGAGCAGGTGCACAGACGTGAACATGGTATGTCTGTTTTCGCACTGCAGAGTGTGCACTGTTTTGATCAATAAATCAACAGTAACCAGCATATGGTGAGAGGGTAAGAAAGTAACTTCCCTAAAGGACACAAATCTCAATGTCATTCTGGCAGATTATCCACATCCCATTTGGTTTGTGTCACAGCATGTGCATCAGGCAATTCTATTGTTTTGGCAGATTTATAATCGGGGGAAGCTAAGGTAGAATCAAGCTTGTATGTCAGATGTGGTGGCTGGAAATTCAGCCTTAACCAAATAGGTCGCATGCAGTGTGTCCCTGTGAGGGAACTGGAGTTTTGGGGTCAGAGCAGTGACAGTGTTAGACCTTGCTCCGAACAGAAGGACCAGAAAGAACCACTTGACGTTCCTCCGGGCCTGCAGCGAACTCACCATTATCTTCCCCTTTTGTTCTGACTCCTGAGCACCTACAATCCCACATTGCTAAATGAAGATATTCACTTGCAGGGTACTCATGGAATGGATGTGGAATAGGGGGGTTCTGCATGTCTGGTATGAAGGAGTCTTCTTAACCCGGGCATTAACAGAGTTCCAATGACTGTTTTCTTTTGAAGTTGGGCAACTGAGATTATAGCAATTGAACGGCTTGTACTGTCAGCAGAGAATGGCATCCAGAAGTGAACAACTAAGAGTTTGATAAGGACTATGTTGGTAGCTGAAAAGGAACTTCTGGTCAGGAGGTGGAAAAGAACCCCCAAATTTGAATGGGTGGACATTATAATAACATTACCCATTAGGCTGAATTGTAAGAAAATACAGTTAGGGAAATACACTAAGACTCCAAGTCCACTTACTCTTTTACCCTATGAAGCACTTATGTGCATAGCGCTGCGGCACCATCTTGTAGAATAAGGATTTACCCCTGGTTCACATATCTGCGATCCTGCGGGCTGCGTTTTATGCGGGCACGAGAGCCCATTCATTTGGATGGACTCCCGTGCCCCAGAACACACAGGGAAGAAGTCCCTGCACTTCTTCTGAAAAACGCAGCCCACATGGAACCTCGGTTCCCACTACGGTTGCATTTTCCAGTGCGGACGGCATGTCATTAGAACTAATGGCATCCACCTGCGGGTCCGCATTCTTCTGTGTGGATGGTGCGGCTGCACAGATTTTTGTGCGAATCCACAGCAGCATCACCCGCACGTATGTGAACCTAGCCATAATGTATACTACAGAGCCATCAAAACATCTACCAGGAACCAGTATGTTAAAGGCTACAGAAAAACCCTGCCTTATCTTGTCCACTTCAGCTTCATTTGTGGGCATACCGAGAGGGGTCTTGACGGTCTGGGTGCCATAGGAATGGACCACAGACCTGGACCTGTATAACACCCTACGTCTTATTGTACACATTGTGTCACCTGGTGAGCACCAAATGCAGAAACATTACAAGCCAGGCCCACGACTGCAGGGTCCAGATATGGTTCCTACAGTGTGCTTGAGGGTCCCTGAGCCAGAAATTGCTGGGCCATGAAGGCAGTAAATTTTGGTGAAAAGATATTGGCAAAATTTCCGCCAAGAAGAGAAACTGTCCTTCGCTAAAGGGCACTAGCAAAAAACTAGAGCTTCACAAAGTGAACAGGGTAACATGGAGAAACTAGGTTTGGACCCTGGTGAAGCTTTTGTCAGAGTCCAATCATCTGAAGGTAGTGTCATATCACCCCATAATCTATGAATGAATTCCTGTTTATTATCTTTAACTATGATTAAGTTATTAGTACGAATGGTACACAATGCACTTCAACAGCACACATGCAATGCACAGTAACCTAATACTGAGTGTTGCCCTGCATTAGCAAAAATTCTGCAGGTGCAATTTTTAGCCCATTATGGTGTATTTCCAGCCTATTCAAATGAACAGGCTGTCCTAACAGTATGCGTGTTAACGTGTTGCCATAGTGCCAATGGGCCCTCATGGCTGATAAGCAGATACGTATATATAAAATCAACATCTCAAGAACATTTCAAGCCGCTACAGCTTGCACATGCATTACCATTGTGTTTTTGTTCTTCTCCTTGCAGTTAAAAGACCCTGACAGTCTCTCCCAGCTGCTGTCAAGGACTGCTGACGCTGAGTGCTACCTCTGTTCAAAACATCTTCAAATCAGCATTCTTTTGAATAACATCAGAGACTTATTAAGGATCTCACACAGTTCCCATAGCACTATTAAGACAATGCAAGAGTATGTAAAGCAGCTGCAGAAGTCACTTGGCTACATTACTGGACTTACTAGCAAACTGTCAGATTCTGCTGAAAAGCAAAAAAATAAATCAATACAACAAACTGTGACCACTGTGAAGAAAAAGCCTCACAGGACAGCATCGCTGAAAACTGAATGTAATGTCGTGGAAAATAAGAAAGACAGGCGAAAAGGCAATGGCAAGTAGAACGTGAAAACTAAAGGGAAACAATGCTGAGTTTTGTATGTCCAATTACATTTCATCTTTGCTTTAACAATTACTGAGTGATCATTCTCATAATTGTCATGGTAAACACATACCAGAATTCAACTAGGAATAAAGCAAATGGTATTGTCAATTGTGTACTCAATAAGTCAAATATTATACTTTAAAAGGAGAGATCAAGGCAAGCAGCTAAGTGATTGTAAAGGTTCAGACTAAAAAAAAAATAACAAACATGTCGAACTTACCTGCTCTGTGCAATGGCTTTGCCCAGAGAATCCCCGATCCTCCTCTTCTTTGGTCCCAAACCAGTACTCCTGGCCCCTAGCCCCTGCTAAGTGATCCCAAAGCAAGCTGCTCGCTCTGGGGGCACTCGTGATTCCTCGCTCCTGAGCTGCCTCCTTGAATCTATGAGAGGCACAGAGCATGTCTCAACCCTGCCCCCCCCCCCCCCCGTTCCTTCCTCACTGGCTGTGATTGACAGCAGCGAAGCAGCAGCCAGTGGCTAATCGCTACTGTGTCTCAGCCAATGAGGAGAGAGAGACCCAGGAGAGCTTCTGCTCTCGTGCACATTGCTGGGCTCAGGTGAGTATAAATTGGGGGGGTGCACACTGATGGTTTTTTTACCTTCATGCATAGAATACATGAAGGTAAAAAACCTTCCACCTTTAGAACCACTTTAACCACTTGCCCTCCTGAGGATTTACCCCCCTAAATGACCAGGCCTCTTTTTGCTACTCGGCGCTGCACTAATTCAACTGATAATTGCACGGTCCTGCAATGCTGCACCCATATGAAATTGACGTCCTTTTTTCACACAAATAGAGCTGTCTTTCGGTGGTATTTGATCACCTGTGCGCTTTTTATTTTTCTCGCTATAAACAAATAAAGACAGAAAACTTTGAAGAAAAACGCTATTTTTTACTTTCAGCTATAAAAAATATATAGTAAACTCAAAGTTAGTTATAAATTTAGGCCAAAATGTATTCTGCTACGTTTTTGGTAAAAAAAAAATCCCAATAAGTGTATATTGATTGCTTTGTGGGAAGGTTATAGCGTCTACAAACTATGGTATAGATACTGCAATTTATGCCATTTTTTGCTATACAGCGCTGCGCTAGTTTAACGGACAATTGCGCGGTCATGAAATAGGGTACATAAATGAAATTTATGTCCTTATTTATTTATTTCAGGTACTTATATAGCGCCGTCAATTTACGCAGCGCTTTACATATATATTGTACATTCACATCAGTCCCTAACCTGAGGGGGGGTGTACAATCTAAGGTACTTTTTTTTCACACAAATAGAGCTTTCTTTTGGTGGTATTTGATCACCTATGCACTTTTTATTTTTGGCGCTATAAACAAAAACATTTTTGAAGAAATTTTTTTTTTTTTTTAAAAAAACAATATTTTCTCATTTAAGTCATAAAAAAATATCCAAAAAAACTAAAATTTTGTCATAAATCTAGGCCAAAATGTATTCTGCTACATGTTTTTGGTTAAAAAAAAGTGTATATTTATTGCTTTGTGTGAAAGTTATAGCGTCTACAAACTATGGTATAAATAATGGAATTTATACAGCTTTTACTTTATGACTGCTGATCACATTTCTTGAGGTGCTAAAATACCAGGATAGTTTTTGGAAAGTAGACACCCTAAGATATCTGCTGAGAGGCATATTGAGTCCATGTAAGATTTATTTTTTTCCACAAGTTTCTGGAAAATTACAAAAAATTTTTTTTTTTACACAAAGTTGTCATTTAAATGATTTATTTCTCGCACAAGCCATGGGTATATGTGGAATTACATCCCAAAATACATTCTGCTACTTCTACCGAGTATGGGGATACCACATGTGTGAGACTTTTTGGGAGCCTAGCCACATACAGAAGCCTGAAATCCAATGACCACTTTGAAAGCCTAAAGGTGCATAACTTCCTCATTTCACTTCCTCAATACCTTTAAAAAGAGGCATGGTGAGTATTTTGCAGATCTCATTTTTTCTCACAAGGTTTTGAAATATAATAAAAGAATAGAAAAAATATGTTTTGTTTTTTTTTTTTTCATTTTCCATAAACTTGTGGCAACAAATGAGATCTGCAAAATACTTACCATGCTTCTTATCAAATTCCTTTGGGGTGTCTACTTTCCAAAAAGGGGTCATTTGGGGGGGGGGGGGGGGTTGGTGCTATCCTGACATTTCAAGGCCTCCGAAACTGTGATAGGTAGTCAGGAAGTGTAATGAGGAAATAAAGCCCTTTAAAAGCCTGAAGGTGCTTATTGGATTTGGGGTCCTGTACTTGGCTAGACTGCCAAAACATCTCTGACATGTGGTACCCCCATACTCGGGAGAAGTAGCAGAATGTATTTTAGGGAGTAATTCCACATATAACCATGGCATGTGTGAGCAATAAATTATTTGTGACAATTTTGTGTAAAAAAAAAAAAAATTTTTTTTGTCATTTTCCAAAACCTTGTGGTAAAAAAAATAAATTCTTCTATTGATTTAACATGCCTTTCAGCAAATAGCTTGGGGTGTCTACTGTCCAAAAAGGGGTTGTTTTGGGGGGGGGGGGCGTTTTATGCCCAGCATTAGAAGTTTATGCCACACATCACTCACTCTTCTAAGCACCTGAAGACCAAGCCTTTTCTGACACTTTTTGCTCACATGAAAAAAATCAGTATTTTTTGCTAGGAAATTAATTTAAACCCCCAAACATTATATATTTTTAAAGCAAACACCCTAGTAAAGAAAATGGTGGGTACTACATTTTTTTATGGCACATAGTACTCGCGCAGCGATTTTTCAAAAGCAATTTTTTAAAAAAAAAAAAACACTTTTTTTTTACTTTTAATGCACAAAACACAATATATTGGCCAATTGTTTGGTAAGATATAAAAGATGATGGTATGCCGAGTAAACAGATACCAAACATGACATGCTTTAAAACTGTGCATGCCCCGTGCAATGGCGACAAACTGAATACATTTTTAATATCCATAGGCAATGCTTTAAAAGCTACCATTTTAGATTTACTGGCACAGGGTCAACACTTGTGCACACAGGTGTGCGTGCATGGGAGGGGCGAGTTGTTTTTTTTTTTTTTTTTTTTTAAAGTTATCTTGATTTTTTTTTTATTATTTTTACACTGTACCTTTCATCTTTATTTTTTTTTATCACTTTTAATGCTATCACAGGGAATGCAAATATCCCCTATAACTTCAATGGGCATTGTCATATATTCTTTTTTGAGAAATCTGGGGTCTATCAGACTCTGAATATCTCCTCTGCCCTTACATTATCTAATCAAACCAAGATCGGTGTGATCAGATGCTTTCCCAATTTTCAAATGGCGCTGTTTATATCCTGCGAAACTGAAGTGATGAAATGCTCGTAGCTTTCCGAATTCTTAGACTATAGAGATGATTGGCACCACTCTGGTCTCCAATCAGCTCTATGGTCAGCTGGCAGAAACACCGGCTGCATTCTCAGGTTCCCCCCTGTTTTACCGATGGCACGGGACTGCCCAAGAAGGCTGTGGAAGGCAGCGGGGCATCATATCCCGCTGCTTGTAAAAGCAATTCTGCAGCTAATTAGCCACTTGGATTGCTTTTACATGAAAGCCAATCGCCGGCTGAAAAAAATTATACCAGGATGATGCCTGCAGCTGTAGGCATCATCCTGGTATAATCATTCAAAGTCCAGTGATGTACCAGTACGTCACTGGTTCTTGTTGGGTATATACAGTTGTGTTCAAAATAATAGCAGTCAGACATCACTAACCTGATCAATCACTGTTTTTGGTAAAAATGATATTTCTACATGGCAAATAATTTACTAGCAGGTGTAGTAGAGTAATAGAAATCCAACAGACCCAACAGTCATGACATGCATGCTGCTGATTCTGTGTAATTGAATCACTAATTGAAAGGGGCATGTTCAAAATAATAGCAGTGTGGAGTTCTATTAGTGATGTCATTCATTCTTTGAAAAACAGGTAGCAATTATTGCCCTTATTTAAGGAAGGAAGGCAAGTGTTGTACATGCTGGTTACAGTGCATTTCTCTCTGAAATTCTGAGGAAAATGGATTGTTCCAGACATTGTTCAGAAGAACAGCGTACCTTGATTAAAGAGTTGATTGGAGAGGGGAAAACATATAAAGAAGTGCAGAAAATGATAGGCTGCTCAGCTAAAATGATCGCAAATGCTTTAAAATGGCAACCAAAACCTGAAAGACGTGGAAGAAAGCAAAAAACTACCATTCGAATGGATAGAAGAATAGCTAAAATGGCAAGGACTCGGCCAACAATCAGCTCCAGGAAGATCAAAGGTGGTCTAAAGTTACAATTAGAAGACGCCTATGTGAAGCCAAGCTATCTGCAAGAAGCCCCCGCAAAGTCCCACTGTTGAAAAAAAAGACATGCTGAAGAGGTTACAATTTACCAAAGAGCACATTGACTGGCCTAAAGAGAAATGGCGCAACACTTTGTGGACTGATGAAAGTAAGATTGTTCTTTTTGGGTCTAATGGCCGGAGACAGTTTGTCAGACGACCCCCAAACACTGAATTCAAGCCACAGTACACTGTGAAGACAGTGAAGCATGGTTGCGCAAGCATCATGATATGGGGATGTTTCTCATACTACGGTGTTGGGCCTATTTATCGCATACCAGGGATCATGGATCAGTTTGAATACTTCAGAATACTTGAAGAGGTCATGCTGCCTTATGCTGAAGAGGAAATGCCCTTGAAATGGGTGTTCCAACAAGACAACGACCCCAAACGCACCAGTAAACGTGCAACATCTTGATTCCAGACCAACAAGATTGACATTATGGAGTGGCCAGCCCAATCCCCGGATCTTAATCCAATAGAAAACTTGTGGGGGTGACATCAAACATGCAGTTTCTGAGGCAAAACCAAGAAATAGAGAAGAACTGTGGAATGTAGTCCAATCATCCTGGGCTGGAATACCTGT